GAAAGAAATGAAATAACTGAAAAAGACAAATTAGCAAACCAAGACAGGACTTACTTCTGACTTTGTGACATTGGTGTGGTCATGTCACATGGTAAATATGTGGTAAATAAGCCTTTTTATTTACTATGGATTCTTTGCTTAACAGTGTCCATTAGATATCTGTCATCAGACAAAATAATAATGTTATATTAATATTTCAATATACATCAACATTAATAATGTCATATTAATGCTTCCCAGGTGGCATTAGTGGTAAAGAACCCACCCACCAATGCAGGAGACATAGGAGATGTGGTTTCAATCCCTAGGTCAGGAAGATTCCCTGGAGGAGGGCATGGCAACCTACTCCAGTATTCTTGCCTGGAGACTCCCATCGACAGAGAAGCCTTGCAGGCTAAAGTCCATAGTATCACAAAGAATTGGACACTACTGAAGTGGCTTAAGAGAATTTTTCATCATAAAATTATTCAGTTATGACTGGGTTAGAAATGACTTTATGACTAGTGGTGGCAAAAGTTAGTTGGTGAACTGCTTAGCTAATTGGAAATCATTCAAGTCTCTGATTTACTGCAATATACCCTTGACCCTATTGTAAAGATTCTGTTAATGGAGGAACAGGAAGGACACAGCCTCATTACAGCTTATTGTGAAGTGCCCAGTTGGTTAGTCAGGTCGAACTCTTTGGGGCCTCATGGACTGTAGCCCACCAGGCTCCTCTGCCCATGGAATTTTTCAGGCAAGAATACTGGAGTGGGGTGCCATTTCCTCCTCCAGGGGGTCTTCTCTACCTAAGGATCCAACCCAAATCTTTTGCATTTCCTGCCTTGACAGGCAGATTCTTTACCACCTGAAACTTAATCCCAATAGATACTTACAAAGTGTTTAGAAGTTTAGAAACACACAGCTATACCCCCAGTATAGTATGAGGGTTTAGAATTAAGCTTTTAAATCCATCATTGGAATAGAGGTAGATATGTAGACCAATGGAACAGAATATATAGCCCAGAAATGAATAGGTCCACATATGGTGAATCTGCTTACATTAAAGTCATCAAGAATAGACAATGAGGAAAGGATTGTCTTTTCTAAAAATTGTTTTGGGGAAAACTGGAGAGACACATACAAAAGAGTGGAACTGGATCCCTACCTTACACCATACACAAAAATCAACTCAGAATGGATGGAAAATTTGAACACATCACCTGGAATTATAAAGCTCCCTGAAGAAAACATAGAGTGAAAGTTCCTTGTCATTTGCCTTGGCATTGATTTTGGGGGGGGGGGGATTAACAACAAAAGCAACTAATAAAAGAAAAATATTAATAAGCAAGTGGGACTACATCAACCTAAAAAAGCATCTGCACAGCACAGGAAACCAAAACTATCAACAAAATGAAAAGGGAATGTACAGAATAGCAGGAAATATTTGCAAATCATACATCTGATAAGTAGTTAATAAGTAAAATATAAGAAGAACTAATACAACTTAATAGCAAAGTAAATAAATAATCCAATTAAAAAATAAACAGTGGAACTATATAAACATATTTTCCAAAGAGAGCCTACAAATGGGCAACAAGTACATGGAAATGTGTTCAGTATTACTAAATACACAAAGAAAATTGTAATGAGATATCACCACACACATTAGAAAGGCTAACATCAAACAGACAAAGGATAATAAGTTTTAGAGAGGATGTTGAGAAATGTGAAATTTTTGTGCATCAATTCTGGGAATGTAAATTAGTGCAGCCACTATGGAAAAAAGTCGAGTTTTCACAAAAAATAAAAATTAAAAAAGAACTACCCTAGTATCCAACAATTCCAGATACAGTGCTAGAGAAGACTCTTCAGAGTCCCTTGGACAGCAAGGAGATCAAACCAGTCAACCCTAAAGGAAATCAACCCTCAATATTATTGGATCGACTGATGCTAAGGCTGAAGTTCAAATACTTTGGCCACCTGATGTGAAGAGCAGACTCATTGGGAAAGACCCTGGTGCTGGGAAGGATTGAGGGCAGGAGGAGAAGGGGGTGACAGAGGATGGGGTGGTTGGATAGCATCACCAACTCAATGGAGATGAGTTTGAGCAAACTCCAGGAGATAGTGAAGGACTGGGAAGCCTGCAGTCCATGGGGTTGCAAAGAGTTGAACATGACTGAGTGACTGAACAACTTAGCCATAAGAATGAAGGAACTCTTGCTATTTGTGACAACATCAACGGATCTTTAATGCATTGTGTTAAGTAAAAGAAGTGAAACAGACGAATACTCTGTGGTATCACTTTTATGCAAAATCTTAAAAAGTCAAACTCATAGAAATAAAGAGTATAAGTGTTGTTACTGGTGTGAGGCAGGGTGGAAGAAATAGAGAGAGGTTGGTGAAAAGGAGCAAACTTCCAGGTATAAAATGACTAAGGTCTGAGGATCTAATGTAAAACCATGAGTAATGTTGATAAAACCATATTGTATAATTGATACATGTAAAGAGAGTGTAACATAAATGTTCTCTCATATACACGATGACTATATGAGGTGATGATGTATTAATTAACTAGATGAAGGAATGGTTTCACATGGTATACATATGTCAAATGAGGAAGATGTACACATTGATATCTTACAGTTTTATATTATAACTCAGTGAAAGTGAAGTGAAGTCGCTCAGTCAAGTCCGACTATTTGCGACCCCATGGACTGTAGCCTATCAGGCTTTGCCGTCCATGGGATTTTTCAGGCAAGAGTACTGGAGTGGGTTGCCATTTCCTTCTCCAGGGGATTTTCCCAGGGATCAAACCCAGGTCTCCTGCATTGTAGGCGGACGCTTTACCCTCTGAGCCATTATAACTCAGTAAATCTTATTAAAAAATAAAATAACAAAATAAAACAATAAGTCAACCTCCTAGACATGTCTTTATTTAAGGCTTATTTTTAATTGAAGGATAATTGCTTTACAATATTGTGTTGGTTTCTGCCATACATCAACATGAATCAGCCATATACATATGTCTGATAGCTATACATATGTCATCTCCCTCTTAAACCTCCCTAAAACGCATGTCTTTCTTGATCAAACTAACAAATACCAAATCTCTTTGATACTTGCTGATACTTGATATCTGACAGATTTGCAGAAAGACCCTGATTCATAGGAAGGGAGTTACACGAATCATTTGCTGAAACGAGGAATCTAAGCTTATTCTAAATCTTACAGAGATTCATATTCCTCAACTAATTTTATGGTACTAGAATAGCAGTCTCATAAAACTTATTAAATTCATCTGTGTTTCCAGAATGTAATACAAGTTGAAAGCATCTCAGTAACTCAAGAATGGTTTAGTATTAGAAATACATTAATAGCATTCAACATAAAACTAATGAATTATAAAACATGTTCATATTAACAAGTGCAGAAAAATAGATCCATTCATGTTAGAAAACAACACAACTATGCAAATATATACATCATTAGTCAAAATGTACCAAAGAAAACACTACAATAAATTAGCATTCTAGTAATATAAGAAAGTTTGCTTCAAAATTATCAAGGAGACAAGACTCTCATTATTGGTGCTATATCAAATATACTATACATTGTAACTGGTGCTTTAACATAGACATTAAAGAATTAAAATAATTGAAAACCCACTTGGGCTTCCCTGGTGGCTCAGCTGGTGAATCAAAGAGTCTGCCTGTAATGCGGGAGACCTGGTCTCAATCCCTGGGTTGGGAAGATTCCCTGGAGAAGGGAAAGGCTACCCACTCCAGTATTCTGATCTGGAGAATTCTATGGACTCTATAGTCCATGTGGTCACAAAAAGTCCAATACAACTGAGTGACTTTCACTTTCTTTCACTTTCAAGCCTATCTGAAAAATCTATGATTACATAAAAGAATTTAAAAAATAACTAGTATCTGGCATATTTATGACACTTCCACAAGTTTGCTATATTTAAGATTAGTATCCAAAAAGAAATTACAATTCCACAAATGAGAATCATAAGGGCATAAATCCATACTGGATTTATGGATTTATGGAGGTTGGCTACCTCCAGAAAATCTAGATGCCCGTCATGGAGGACTCTTTTCAGCTTCTTATCCCATCCCCCTCTATCTAACTTCCTCTGTAACTCCATTGGGATCTTGAAAGCTATACTGCCTACACTCACTCTATATCCTGAATATTTCTATCTTCTACTAGAACCCCCATTCCTAAGACATGGCTACACTTACTTGTGCAACCCATAGTGTACTATCCAGTTCCTGTGACAAGGTTTGGAAAATCGCATGGTTTAGATTTCTTTGAAACAGGTAAATTTTACTTCAGTGTAACCAGTCCGACCCTACATAAAGTGGTTTATTTGGTCTGATAAAGACTCTGGAATAAAATTCCCCCAGTGATTCTGATTGAGGTAGACTGGCATGAGCATTTTCAATGATGCCCTTATGCCCAATGGCATAAATAGCATGCCATTTCCTTCTCCAGGGGATCTTCCCGACCCAGGAATCGAACTCGGATCTCCTGCATTGCGGGCAGGCACTTTACCCTCTAAGCCACCAGGGAAGTCAAGGGCATAAAGGAAACTTTTAAAAAATATTTGCCTTATAACCAAAAACATTTACAGATACTCAAGATAAAATGTATGTTGTCACCCTGTTTATTTAACTTATATGCAGAGTACATCATGAGAAACACTGGGCTGGAAGAAGCACAAGCTGGAATCAAGATTGCTGGGAGAAATCCATCCTAAAGGAGATCAATCCTGGGTGTTCATTGGAAGGACTGATGTTGAAGCTGAAACTCCAATACATTGGTCACCGGATGCGAGGAGTTGACTCATTGGAAAAGACCCTGATGCTGGGAGGGATTGAGGGCAGGAGGAGGGGACGACAGAGGATGAGATGGCTGGATGGCATCATCAACTCGATGGACATGAGTTTGAGTAATCTCCGGGAGTTGGTGATGGATAGGGAGGCCTGGGGTGCTGAGATTCATGGGGTCGCAAAGAGTCGGACACGACTGAGCCACTGAACTGAACTGAAGATAAAATTAACAAAGTATTTCGTGCCAATTTCTCTGGCGCCCTTGGCGTTCTGGGAAAGACGTGTCTTCTTAATTCATGGCATGGATTCCTTGGCGGTCAGTTGCAGAACGCATCCCTACCAATGGTGTTTGGCCCCTTTAAAGGCGGTTACTCACTGCTCGGGCGTGGCTTGGGAGAGGTCATTCCCTGGAGCCTTCTGAAGTTGACGAAGGCCTTTTCTCCTGGCAACTGGGAACTACAAGACCCAGAGTGCCCAGCGTCGAAGGCGACGCTGCTGAGGCAATGATGGCGCAGAAAAAAGCTATTTCCGCTGGGGAACAATCCTAAGGGGAGGGACTTCTGGCCTTCTCCTTAAGGCGGACATTTTAACTCCGCCGGTTCTGTTCTGTATGAGAGGGCTGTCAGGACCCGAGTGACGGGAACAGGAAGGTCCGAGAGGGGCTGCTGTCGTTGCTGCAAAGAGACGGGTCTGAACCTCGGCGACACCGCCTGGGGTCCGCCGCTCCCGGGTCTCCCCGCCTCTCCTAGCCCCGCTACCTCCAGAGTCCGATGGCGGCGGCGGCGGCGGCGGCGCTGAGGGAGCAGCCTCAGGTAAATGCTCGTACTCCGCGCCTTCACCGCCTTCATCCCATCATACCATAAAGCCCCGCGCGGCGGCTGCTCACGTGCGCGCAGCCCAAGCCCGGGGGCTCCAGGATGGACAGGCGGTGCTGGGTGGGGCCCTGCGTCTGACAGACAGCGTGATGACGCAAGGGAGATGGGGACTGGCGGCGGGGCCGTAGGTGCAGAGGCTTGGAGGTCGGACTGAGGCGGGAGGATTCCGGAAACCTAGCATCAGCCTTATGCTTACCGGAAAGAAGAATGTTAGTGCAGTCAGGCCCGGGGTAGTGCGTTATTGGGATGTAATCCCCAAGAGCTGTTGAAAGGAAAAACAGGGTAGAGAGGGTTCATGAGGACATTGAGGTCCTGGGAGGTTGAATCTTTGTTCAGGGCCCCACAGCTGGTAAGAGGCAGCACTGAGCATTGAGCCCCGGAGGTTAATCCGCCAGCCTGAGGTAAGCTGGCTTCCATGGCCAGGCAGGAGTACAGACGGTGAACGGTGGAATCCCACATTGGACGCATTCCTTCCTCTTCACACAATTCTCAGGGTTAAAGAAGTGCTTATGGAACCTGAGCAGGGAGGTAGGGGGTGTCCCATTGCCTTACTCGCCCGCTCTCACTCCCATGTTCCCTGGAGTTGTTGTCGCCCTGAGATGCTTAATTGGCTTCCCTGGTGGCTCAGCGTAAAGAATCTACCTGCAGTGTAGGAGATACAGGAGACGCGGGTTTGATCCCTGGGTTGGGAAGATCCCCTGGAGGAGGGCATGGCAACCCACTCCAGTATCCTTACCTGGAGAATCCCATGGACAGAGGATCCTGTTAGGCTACAGTCCATGGGGTTTCAGAGAGTCAGGCACGACTAAAGCGACTTAGCACACACTCACACAGGAGATGCTTAATGTCCTTTATCTCCTCCTTGAGTCCGAGGTTCCTGAAAAACTCCAAGCCTACCGTCCTAAGTCTATGCTAGAGGTTATATAGAGAGGTGTTCCCATTTCTGGCAGTCATGGTAAACGTGTGTAAGGTCAACCTAACCCAAGATGTGCAAATGCCAAGAGTTAAAACTGAGCTCAGGAATATTCAGGACCCACAGGTCTCCTCTCTTTTAGGTAGGAATAAATAGCAGGTGGGTAGGAGTCAGGAGAGGAACAACTGTCTGAGATGTCAGTTTTTGTGTTCTAGAGGAAACTAGAAGTTTGGGTCATGGGATGGAGGTGATGTGATTAAGGTTTCATTTGGCTTTAGAGTGGAAAACAAACTGTGGGCTTGAGAGAGGAAGAAGGACCATCATTGTGGAGGTTACTACCATAGTCCAGGTGAGGGTTAATGGAGCAGGGGCATGCCTTGGGAAATGTGGCTGTATTCTGGCTGCATGTTTTTATTTTTATTTTTTTGCCATCCCATGCAGCATGTGGGATCTTAGCTCCACAATCAGTGATCTTGCATGTTCCTCCTGTGCTGGAAGCACAGAGTGTTAATGGCTGGACCACCAGGGAAGTCCCTGGCTGCATGTTTTTAGAGGAGGCAGCTAGATTTTGTAAAGTGGGTGGTGAGGGAATGAAACGCAGGTACCAGAGATGAGCCCTGGCTTTGCAGCTGTAGAGATGGAAGCTGCATCAGTGGAGATAGCAGGTTGGTAGTAGGTGTAATATTCATTGTTTATCTGGAGCTTTGTTTTAACCATGTTAAGAGTCAGATATTTTAGACACCAATGAGTGGAGGCATCAAATGAACATCTGACATACAAGTTTGGAATTCTTGAGAGTGATTCAGCTTAGAGACATCTAAAATGTAACTACAATGTATACCAAACTGAATGACCTGTGTCTCAACATTTGGAAGAGGCAAGCTTCAGGTTGTGGTGGCAGATCTTTTAGGGAGGAGGTATGGAAGAAGCAGGCAGAGGATTGGGTTTCTTGCTTGCTTCCATGTGTGATGGTGTCATTTACTTCATGAATGTAAGTAAATGCCCAGGAAGTTTTGCTGTATGAGACAGGATAGTCTGGCAGGCAGCCAAAGCTTCCAAGAGAAGAGTTAACATGAGGTGGATGTAGAAGCAAGGGATAATTCATCCATATGACACTCAGGCCAGAACTGGTACTCCTTTACCACTTTATCAGCTCACCAAGTTTTGTGAGAACTTTGGTGGTGCCTGGCGTGTTTCATTCAACCTAGTTATATGGCCACGAGCAATAAGGTCCTCTGTAAGAATCACTAGGCTTGGGGTAGGCAAGTAATGGGGCTGGAGTTTGAATGAGGGTAAGGGAACAGAGAAAGGTTGTCATTGCTGACTTACATCAAGGACTGCACAAAAGTACCATGGGACTATGTGTATCTGAGATCCACACACGGTTCTGTTGTTTTAAATCTGAGACAAGGATCAGAGTCATGCAGTAAGGCCCTTATAGATGATTTCTGATGCTGCCTTTGGGAATTGTTGAGAGTTCTGTAGTCATATTGGGTTCTGTTTGATTTTGCCATTTGTATTGTGGATACTGCCTGCCAAGTTGTGGTATAAGGCCTAAGTTCAGTGTGATGTGCTTCTTTGACATTTGGTGAAACTTGGGTGCCTTCAAATGACCTGAGTGCAAGTTCCTCTCCTCACAGTGTTCCTGTGGATAACGTCTCTTAGCCTAACAACCATTTTTACAAAGGAAACCAGATACTTCTAGGTAGCACTAGCCCTCAGAATTATTCAAATAAGGCAGTCACATCCTCCTTGGAGCATCCAAACTCCTCCATCCCACAAAGATTCCTTTACACAGACCCTGATTGTGCTGTTTTTTTTTTTAAACTACTCCCTGTGGGCCTTTGTGGTGAGTGGTGAGTTTATGTGATCAATAAGCTACTGTCAGTTGCATTTGTGCAGTCTCAGGTGTCATGTGTTAGGTCACCATCATAGCCCTATGCTGGGGTTAGGAGACAGTGACTTAAATACAGATAAGGTGTGGGAAGGGTAAGGAGATGTCTGTGGTGTGGGAGAGTGAGGTTTTGGTGGCCATGGTCATGTATGGTTATGGGATACAGAGACTGAGGATGTGCAACCCAAGGAGTGATGTGTGCTTGAAGAGGGAGCATGTCTGATGGTGCTAACATGTCCAGAACAATGCCCATACCAGGGAAAAATTGCTTGTCAGCAGAGGGTGGATCCCTCTATGCCAGGCCTATAGTTGAGATATATGTTCATCCACCTGCCTCTTGTTCCTGGTGGCTATACCTAGTGGTCAGTGAGCCTGTGGGGAGACAACCACACCAAGGTGCCAGGGTGTGATAGCTTCTCTGAATTGGAAGGGCTGGGCGATAGATAGTCAAAGGGTAGATGTGTGGGGAAATGGACTGCAACTCTTCAGAGGTGTACTGTTTGTTGTTTCATCTGTCATCATCATGGCAGGTCAGTGTGAACTTTGAAGATGTAGCTGTGACCTTTTCCTGGGAGGAATGGGGTCTCCTTGATGAGCCTCAGAGATGCCTGTACCGTGATGTGATGCTGGAGAACTTGGCACTTATAACCTCCCTGGGTAAGAACCTTAAACCTTTCTTCATGACCTGAGCTAGTCGTTTTCCCCAGAGACAAGCTTGTCCTTCTCATGTCAGGACCATGATCACTGCTTTTTTTTTTCCCCAGTACTCCAGGTTGGTGCTGTGGTTGGTTGGGCTGAGGTATTTGCACTGCCATCTGTTTTCCTTGAAAAGGCCCCACATCTGCTACCCTGCAGCCTCCCCTGGAAGGATCCAGGGTCAGGAATCTTCCATTCAGCCTAATATATCCCACCATACTTTCCCTCTTCCTACTGGATGACATCCAGATGCAAGTTACCTGTGCTCCTCAGGTTCTACTTCTTTCTTCTCATAAACATTTCCTTGTAACTGCCTTTGCTGGGAATTAATTCTCTGGTGTAGACCATGCACTTCTTGCAAGAACCTTTTCAAAGTTCTCTTAATAGTATTTAAATGTTTTCCTCTGGTTTATGATGTGATGAATATGGGTCAGCTTCTCCTATGTGGTGTCTTTCCCCTTGTATTTGCATCATCCAGGTCTCATACACTTGTTCATTTTGGAAGTGGAGTGGGGAGCTCTTATTTGTCCACAAGCTGGATATTAATTTCAACTCAACCAAGTAGGCCCAAAGGGCTGCTGTACAGTATCACCCTGTGGGAGTGCATGATGCTAGTTCAAGTGATACCAGGAATTTGTTCTGTTTGACTTCAATTTTGATGGCTGTTTCCAGGACCACACCTTATTTCTCCTTTTTTTTTTCCTCCATTCTTAATAGTGCTGACTTAATTCTGCATTGTGGTTCTTCTACTTGTAGTTCAACCTGTGGCTAATCCTTGTATCTCTGAATCTCTATCACTCATTTTCCTCCCTGCTTTATCTGTTCATTCTGTAACATTGGCCCATATATTTTCTATAATCAAACATATACCCGTTCTTAAAATGTTCCTGACCAAAATCTACTTTTCTGCAGTCCTTTTTTCTTGGCCCTGGAAATGCTCATCTACATTGCAGTCATGTGTTATAGCAGACACAGTCCTGCTGATGTTGTTTGCAACTAATTTATATATAAATTTTTCCTTTTTTTTTTGTAATGGCTGCACTGGGTCTTCATTGTGGCACATTGACTTCTCTAGGTTGCAGCTCATGGGCTTGGTTGCCTGTGGCTTGTGGGATCTTAGTTTTCAAACTAGGGATCAAACCCATGTCCTCTGCATTGGAATGCAGATTCTTTACCACTTGACGACCAGGGAAGTCTCTGTAACTGATTTTTTAACTGTCAACAATTAAGTAATTTTTCACCCTGCTTTTCCTCTCTGTGACACATCACATGGTTATCTTTTTTCTCATGTGGTCTTCCCCCATCCTGTGGCCTTTATAGCCCAGTATTGCTCATGATATTGTCATCAAGAAGCCAACTCCCTGTTCTTATAAATAATCACACAGACTTATTCATGAGTTTATCAGACACACACTGATGTGTGGGCTTCCCCCTGCCCCACTAAAGTCAACATGTGCTTCACCAACACTTCTTACTTTTAGGTTGTTGCCATGAAGTGGAGAACGAGAAGACTTCTTTTGAGCAAAATGTTTATTTTCAAAGAATGTCACAGATCAGGACTCCCAGGGCAGATCTATCCTCCAAAAAGGCCCACCCCTGTGAACTATGTGTCCAAATATTGACAGACTTTCTGTACTTGGATGAATGTCAAGGAATACATTCAAAGCAGAAATTACATAGGTCTGGGAAACAGTTGTATGTCAGAACAAACCTTCATCAGCCTCAGAAGCAGTGCATTGGGGAGAAATTCTTCAGAAGAGATGTGGATAGAACTTCATTTGTGATGAGCTGCAAATTCCATGTATCAGGAAAGTCATTAGTTTTCAGGGTGGTTGAGAAGGACTTCTTGACCAGGTCTCAATTTATCCAGCAATGGGCTACTAACACCTGGGAGAGGTCAAGCAGAACTGAGTGTGAGGCAGCCTTTCAGAGGGGAAAAACTTATCCTAACTGGGGAGAAGTTAGCAAGAAGTCACACCTCATTGTATACCAGAGAGTTCACACCAGGGAAAGGCCATATAAATGCAGTGAATGTGGGAAGTCATTTAGCCGAAACTCTACGCTCCTTCAACATCAGAGAATCCACACTGGAGAAAGACCTTATGAGTGCAGTGAATGTGGGAAAACTTTTAATCAACGTTCTGCTCTTCATCAGCATCAGCGACTTCACACTGGTTCAAGGCCTTATAAGTGCACTGATTGTGGGAAATCCTTTGCCGATAATTCCACCTTCATTAAACACAGGAGAATTCACACTGGAGAAAGGCCTTATGAGTGCAGCAAATGTGGGAAAGCATTTTCCCAAAGTTCTTCACTCCTTCGACATCAGAGGGTTCACACTGGGGAAAGGCCTTATGAATGTGGAGAGTGTGGAAAATCATTTAGGCAAAAGCCCAACCTTATTCAACATTGGAGAATTCACACTAGAGAAAGACCTTTTAAATGTGAGAAATTATTTAGCAACAAGTCCCATCTCACTGAACACCAAAGAGTTCACAGTAGAGAAAGGCCATATGAGTGTGGGGAATGTAAGAAATTCTTTAGCAAGAGGTCCCACCTTATTATACACCAGAGAGTTCACACTGGGGAAAGGCCATATAAATGCAGTGAATGTAGGAAATCATTTAGCCAAAACTCTACACTCCTTCAACATCAGAGAATCCACACTGGAGAAAGGCCTTATGAGTGCAGTGAATGTGGGAAAACTTTTAATCAGTGTTCTGTTCTTCATCAGCATCAGCGACTTCACACTGGTTCAAGGCCTTATAAGTGCACTGTTTGTGGGAAATCCTTTGCTGATAATTCCACCTTCATTAAACACAGGAGAATTCACACTGGAGAAAGGCCTTATGAATGCAGCAAATGTGGGAAAGCGTTTTCCCAAAGTTCTTCACTCCTTCGACATCACAGAGTTCATTGGAGAAAAATCTTACAAGAAAATATGAGAAGCTGATTAGCCCAAGCTGTTTTTCAACATTAGAGAACTCACACTGAATCAAAGCCATGTGTGAGTGCCATGAGTGTTGAAAGTACTTTGCAAAAAGCTTCAGATTCATTAAACACTTGAGTGTTCATACTGCAGAAAGGCATTATATTGTAGGAAATGTCTGAATTCCTTTACCTACAACTCTAGTCTCATAGAACACCATAATGTTCACACTGGATAATAGCCTTGCAGATGTGACTAATGTGGGAAATTTTTTTTTATCTGAAACTCTAGCCTCATTACATACTGGAGAGTTCACAGACTTCACTCTTATTTCATTGAATACCACAAAGTTCAGAAACAAGAGTTGTACAGGGATGAATTATTGGTCAGTATAACACTGGGGAGATCCCTTATGAGGGTGTTGACCTCATACATGCAATAAACCACTTATATTCCAGGTTTATGGGAGCTTCAGTGCAATTCTTAACCTGCCCAGAACCCTTACCAGATTTATGTCATTGCCAGTTCCATAGCAAAAGCCATTTCACCACTGTTGTATGGCCAGGTGTTCATGATGTACAGTTTTGAACCACCCTGAGTCCAGGGAAGAACACTTTGATGTTGTCCCATTTATGGGAGCCTTTGTAATAAGTCTGAGCACTCATTCCTTTCTAATTCTTTTGATGGGTTACATCTCTGAGTTGACCTATTTTTGTTCTAGGCTACTCTGCTGGTGACTTGCAAACTGAGCCTACTTTTCTCAGTGTCTATTGTGACTCCTGTGATGAGATTTTCCTCCCCTTCATGCCTCAAGCCCAGGAATAGTCTGTGTCCCATTGTACTGGTTTGTGTGAAAAATGAAGACCTTACTCTTTTTTAACAGCTCAGCTTTTTATTGAATATGTTACTAAAGAGATTTAGTCCAAAAGGCCCATGTCATCACCAGATTCTTCTTTCTTTGCTTTTACTTTCTTCTCCTCAGCTGGGGCAGCAGTGGTGGATGGGGCAAGACCTCCTGCTGGGGCAGGTCCACCAGCCCCCACATTGCAGATGAGGCTTCTGATGTTGACATTGGCCAAAGCCTTTGCAAACAAGCCTGGCCAGAAAGGCTCCACATTTACACTGGCTGCTTTAATGAGGGCATTGATTTTATCCTCCATGACCATGCAGAATGACGGCAGAGTAGATGCAGGTGAGCTCTGAGATGGAGGCCATGGTGAGGACGAGTGCTAGGTGGGGGCTGCCAGGCACGGTGCTAGTCACCGGATGAAGTGAGGGCCTCACCCCCAAATGGCAGGTTCCTCAGAAGAACTGAGCACCTTAGCAGCAGAGGAGGAAAAAGCAAGACCTTACTCTAAGTCCCTTCAATCTTGGGATTTTATTCACTGTGGTGACTTGAAAACAACTGGGTTCTAGCAGCAATCAGGGTTGAAAAGCTTTTTTGTGGAATTGCACACTCTGTGCCTCAGAGAGAACAGTATGCTGTGAGTGTACCTCTTTCTAGTTTTGTCCTAGTTGCCATTGCTGCCCAGGGCCTCCAAGAAAAGACTGCAGGGATTTGTGGTTCTTTTTTGCAGCCTGGATGCATTGGTATTTTATTGGTTCAGATGTCAGTCTTTAGATGGGCAGTTGTGATACCTTTGCTGCTTCCTAAATCAAGGAAAGTTTCTTGTTCATGGGGTCATGGATTATGTCCAGTCAGTAAGAGAAGTCTGTTCCCTAGGTCCTGTAGTGGAGCCATGTATCCTCATGTCTAGAATTCCAGATAGTGGCAGCATAGATTATACAGTCATACAGGCAGGGGGAATCACCTGTTAAAGGAACACTGGATCTGTAGGGAGGGGAAAAGGCTGCCACAAGTTTGTGGAAATGTGCCTGTACTGAAGGGGCCTCTGCAGTATTCCAGTTACTACCTGTGAAGGATGAGCCAGTGCAGAAATTGTCATGGCATCGAGAACTATGTATCTTTTATAGGGAGGCTGTTGTGAGATGAAAAAATTATCAGTGGTTTTGTAGTATCTATGTGATTTCACTTCAGATGTGTTGCTGTGCAGGAAAATGAGGATAGTGAGGATGTGCTGTCCCCACTGTAGCCCCCCCCCCCCCTGCATTCCTATTGAATTTTGGGGGGATTTCCTAGCAATTCAGTAGTTAGGGTTTGGCACTTTCACTGTTGAGGGCTTGGGTTCAGTCTCTGGTACAAGCTGCAACCAAAAAAATATTTAAAAATTCTTTGGGGAAGTTTCTGTTTTTTCCTAACAAAAAAGATAGTGAAACAGCAAAAACTTATGTTGGAATTTTATTCATTTTTCAGTGATATGACCTCTCTGCTATGAAAATAATTGTTCTTTAATGTGGGAGTATTTCATAAACACTTTGTGTACTGTACACAATGCAGTAGCCACATACAGCATATACTTTTAAAGTTTAGTCATTAATATTCTTGCTCACTTAAAAAAATTTTTTTATTATACTATGTGCCAGTCTATGCTGTACACACACAGTGAGTCAGTTATATGCATATATACATTCTTTTTTTTTTTTTAGTATTCTTTTCCACTATGGTTTATCACAGAGTATTCAATATAGTTCCATGACCTTGTTTCTTGAATTAGTTCTTAAATCTAGATACTCAACATTTTTAAGCCATGATTTGTAGCTCTGAATAAATAGGCTTTGAGTGTTCTCATTTGGTTGGCCATCTTTATTTCCACAAGTCTAAGTAAGTGTAGTCAAAATTCTATGTTATGAATTGATTTGAAATAGTTTTTGACTATGTGATTATACAAGTATTCATTTTATACAGCATTTAGTCTGTTGTATTTCATTTTCCATTTTAGGTTATTGACATTTTAGCAACAAATGGATCTAAGATGATGCCTTAACTAACATCTTTCAAGGAGGCATTGTTAGTCAAAATTGCATTTGGAAGCCTCATCACACCATGCATGGAAAGTGGTCCATTGGTTAATCAGAATTTTCTTTTGCTTGTGAGTAAACAATACTGTAGGATCCACTTAGGGGGACTTGGCTATAGATAATTTATGAATAAGTTAAAGCTTTCTCACTGGTGAAACCACCTAAATCCTGCCCCCTTTGTGTTACTTACATCCCACCTTTCTTTTCTTTTCCTCTTCTCTGATAAGCTGGTTGGAGTAGCTCAGTGTCCTTTTTGTGTGTGTGTGCTGAACCATGTGGCTTGCTAGATCTTAGTTCCTTGACCAGGGGTCAAACCTGTGCCCCCTGCAGTGGAAGCAAGTCTTAATCACTGGACCACCAGGGAAATGCCACTCAGTGTCCCCTGAATTTGCAATTTCCACATGGAGGAAACCCTCCATGTACATTCAGCATGGTTGTGTTCAAATCTCTGGCATTGTCAAAGACTTACTAAATCCCAGGTTGGAAAAGTTTATTAGAACATTCATTTCTCTTCTGTGTGCACACAGTCCAGGCAACTTGTGACTGAGACAAGAAAAACAACATTGGTTGAAAAATCTTAGACCTTTCCTGAAAAGGCTTTGAATATTAATAAATCTTGTAGACTTTAAAGGTTAAAAATAATACAAACCCCCCTTTAAAAAAAGTTTTTAAAAAGGACACTAGAAAATGTAAGAAATTATACTAAGCTAGTAAAGGAAAGATAAATATTAGGCTTATAATGGTTTGGATGGAGTCAGCACGTTACATTGCTAAACATAATCTTGCTCAAAGTTGTTTTCTCAAAAGTTTAAAAGGTATAATTTCTAATAATGGTTTCCCCTTATAGGTTACCAGGTGAGAAGAAACAGGAGACTCTCAGAGCTTTTACATAATTTGAAGTGTCTTTAAGCATTTGATTTGTGTATATAGATATTTATAAATATATTTTTGAAAGTTTCTATAGTAGCCCTACCAGGATGACTTTTTGAACAAATAACACTTCATAATTTTAATTTTAAAACAGAAACTACATTTTCTACCATGGAAAAAATATTATCACATTATTGTAGTTTATAGAAGACTAAAATTTAGTATCTAAAGATTTGAAACTTATGAATATACTACACTGGGTTTATGGGTCAGCTAACTTGTTAATATTTCCACAAATAATTGTATCTGCTCAGTTCAGCATCTTAATGAGAAGGGCCCTTCATTCTCTTTCCACCCTTTATCTCAGCTACCTGAATGCTCACGCCCCTTCACATACTTGTCCTTCATATGTACTTTTCTCTCTCTGGAATATTCTTCCCAACACTCTACACTTAGTAAATCACCAAAAAATAATCATTGCAAACATTTAAAAAATAGCTTCAGAGAATTTCCCCAGAGACTTCAGGTAAAATTCACTGAAGTGGTGGTATGGCTGTTTCTGCTTGTCCTGAGCTATGTAAGGGGTGTAAGGACAATGCTTTCCTCCCAGAGGAAATAAATGAACCATAGTTGATCAGATGTTTTACACCTAGTTTGTGCTTATGATGAATGGCATCTGTCATTATTCTTGTTTTCTTGCCAGAAAAAAATCCCATGGACAGAGGAGCCTGGCTTAGTGACTAAACAGCAACAACAATAGAACCTTACATCTTGAGCTTCCCTGGTGGCTTAGTGGTAAAGGATCCTAACGTGATGCAAGAGACTTGGGTTGAGAAGACCCCTTGGAGAAGGAAATAGCAACCCATTCCACTATTCTTGCCCGGGAAAGCCCAGGGACAGAGGAACCTGGTGGGCTACATTCCATGAAGTATCAAGAGTTGGACATGACTTTCTGACTTAACTTAGATCTTGAGGTACAAAGACATTATGCAGTAGCTGCAGCATGTGAGCTCAGTAGTTGTGGCGCACAGGTTTAGTTTCACTGAGGCACGTGGAATCTTCCCAGACCAGGGATTGAACCTGTGTCTCCTGCATTGGTAGGTGGATTCTTAACCGATGCTCCACCAGGTAAGTCCCAAGAACCCTAACATTTTAAAAACAGTCTGAAGAGTTTATACATTAAAATACATGCTATCTGGGATTCAGTTCACTTCAGTCGCTCAGCCGTGTCCGACTCTTTGCAACCCCATGAACCGCAGCATGCCAGGCCTCCCTGTCCATCACCAACTCCCGGAGCTTATCGAAACTCATGTCCATTGAGTCAGTGATGCCATCCAAGCATCTCATCCTCTGTCGTCCCCTTTACAGGTGAAATAATATAGTAAGGTGGGTGGGGTAGATGAAACAAGACCAACCATGAAATAGCAAATAGTGCCGAAACATTGCAAAACACTGCAGCCATTGTCGCATGTCAAAATGGCATTTTTTTTGTTCTCTTTTTGAGATTGACATCAGATTCAGAAAGGAATATATGTGAGGATATGAAGTAAGATAATAGATGAAAGTATTGCTCAATGAATTGGACAGTGTCAGTTTGGTTCAGTTCAGTCTCTCAGTTGTGTCTGACTCTGCAACCCATGGACGGCAGCATGCCAGGCCTCCCTGTCCATCACCAACTCCTGGTGTTTTCCCAAACTCATGTCCATTGAGTCAGTGATGCCATGCAACCATCTCATCTTCTGTCATCTCCTTCTCCTCCCGCCTTCAATCTTCCCCAGCATCAGGGTCTTTTCAAATGAGTCTGCTGTTCACATCAGGTGGCCAAAGTACTAGAGCTTCAGCATCAGTCCTTCCAATGAATATTCAGGACTGATCTTCTTTAGGATGGACTGGTTGCATCTCCTTGCAGTCCAAGGGACTCTCAAGAGTCTTTTCCAACACCACAGTTCAAAAGCATCCATTCTTCAGTGCTCAGCTTTCTTTATAGTCCCAACTCTCACACCCATACATGACTACTGGAAAAACCATAGCCTTGACTAGATGGACCTTTGTTGGCAAAGTAATGTCTCTGCTTTTTAGTATGCTGTCTAGGTTGGTCATAACTTTTCTTTCAAGGAGTAAGTGTCTCTTAATTTCATGGCTGCAGTCATCATCTGCAGTGATTTTGGAGCCCTCCAAAATAAAGTCTGCCTCTGTTTCCACTGTTTCCCCATCTACTTACCATGAAGTGATGGGACCATGATCTTAGTTTTTGAGCTTTAAGCCAACTTTTTCCACTCTCCTCTTTCATCAAGAGGCTCTTTAGTTCTTCACTTTCTGCCATAAGGGTGGTGTCATCTGCATATCTGATGTTATTGATATTTCTCCCAGCAACTATAAAGGCAGGATTTCTGTTGTCTTGGGAATCGTTGTCAGAGACCTATCTTTGTATTCCTTCCTCAACGTGGCGCAGCATCCTTTTCCTTATCTACACTTTCGTGTACAGATGTACAGTGCACTATTGTTTATTAGCTTCAGTTTCCACTGTCTCCATTCTGTGTCTAAGTGACTCGGCTTAGGTCATTTGGGATTTTTGTTTGGTTGGACGTGCTGTGAGATTTGTGGGACCTTAGTTCCCTCATCAGGGATTGAACCACGCCTCCTGCCGTGGAAGGGAGGAATATTAATCACTGAATCGCCTGGGAAGTTCGGGGATGCATTTGGATTGATGGATTTGAGAGCATCTGGAAAGGTACTCTTAGCCTCTAGGAACACGCTGAGCTTCGAAGAATTTGAAAAACTGTCTCCAAACACTTGGGTGATCAGTTACAGATAGTAATCCTCAAACATCTGAATGCATTCTCTTTAAGAAGCAACGCCCCACCTCAGTCTCTGAATTTCGGTTGTTATTTGAGCAAACCTCACAGTGTAGCTTCGCCTTTTCTCCTGCAAGTCAGGGATCACTCAAACGACCTTGGCTCGTGGATCTGTGGGAAATACATTACCCAGGCGGCTGTGCGATGGGCGGCTGCGACGATCAGCCAATTAGGACGAAAAGAAGCCGCATTTTCTTGTGAAGCAATAGTTTCTGGGCGGGACTTCCGGTGGCGACGCTATGAGCGTTATTTTGAATGTGCTCGAGTTTTTTCATAATTCAAGCGCTTCGGTTACTTGTGCTGGGAAGCGGGGATGAGACTGAGAAGATACCAGCTGCAGAGAGGCGGGTGTGAGGCCCGGTGACTCCGCCCAGGGTGTGCCGCGCCAAGACTGGGAGAGGCCCCGCCGGGCGGGGTACTGCAGCCGCTCCCGGTCCCGCTCCGCCCACAGAGTCCGATGGCGGCGGCACTAAGGGACCCGCCTCAGGTAAACGCTGGTCCCCTTGGGCCCTCACCGCCCTCATCCCACCAGACACTAAAGCCCCGAGCGTCGGGGGGAGTCGGCGGCGCCTGTTCACGTGCCCGCAGCCCAGTCCTCGGGATCCAGGCCGGTGAGGCCGACTTGGGTGGGGGCTCTGTGTCTGTGAATGCGCGTGGGAGAGGGTGACGGGCGGAGGGACCTGCAGGCGCAGAGATTTGGAGGTGGTACTGATCAGGGACTTAGGTATAGCAATTCTCCACCCTCCTAGCAATTTCTGATAGGAGCAAGTTGCAGCTGGGCCAGTCAAGGTTGCAGTGTTGCTGCGAGAAAGGTTGGCCATTTATGGAAACTTCCTGGCATCCCAGTGGTTAGGATTCCGCCTCTCATGGCTGCGGGGCCCCAGTTCAATCCCTGCTTGGGGAACTAAGATCTCACAAAGTACCACCGTGCGGCCAGAAAAAAGAAAGGACCATTTATTTCACAGGTAGTAGAGGGTTTGAATCGCAAGCGGGAAGTGATCGCATGCAGACCAAAATAGGCTCCCTCTGACTGCAGAGAAGAAAACAAAGTAGGAGAGGGAGGAAGGAGACAGGAAGCACAGAGGTATTAATTGTAATAGCCTCGGTGTGTATTGATGGACCAGAGAGACTACCTTGGATTTGTGAAAAGTGATTGAATTCTGGATCAATTTTTTGAGAAGGTGTTATCGAAATCGCAAGTCCTTGTGCCCCACACACAGTCAGGCCCATCCATACTAAAACAGAGTTTGAAACAGAGGTTTATTACAGATTTGTACAAGGAGATGGGTGGCTCATGCCCTATGAGCCCCAAAATTACTGAAAGCTTTCAGCAAGGCCCTTTAAAAGCAAAAGGTGAGGTATGGGCGTAGTTAGTTGTTGTAGATTTCCCATGTCAGATCCTTTGTTCTTGGGATCAGCTCATGGTCAGGTAAGGATGTTCCTGTAAGTCTCTACCAGATGAATGTTATTCTTTGTCCTGACAAGGAAGAGCAAAGTCCCAAGGCACAACTTTCACCCCCCAATGTCCCAGTCCTAGCTAAGAGGAGGCAGATTGCAGTTGGCAGCTCCTTCAAGGCCAGGTCCCCAGACTTGCCCAGCTGTCATCCCTGAGGGAGCCAGGCACCCAACCCAACTGGCCCTCAGTCTCCTCAGGTCAGTTCAGTTGCTCAGTCGTGTCTGATTCTTTGCGACCCCATGGATTGCAGCACGCCGGGCTTCTCTGTTCATCACCAACTCCCAGAGCTTACTCAAATTCATGTCCATTGAGTCATGATGCCATCCAGGCATCTCCTCCTCTGTTGTCCCCTTTTCCTCCTGCCTTCAGTCTTTCCAGCATCAGGGTCTTTTCCAGTGAGTCAGTCTTTCGCATCAGGTGGCCAAAGTATTGGAATTTCAGCTTCAGCATCAGTCCTTCCAACGAATATTCAGGACTGAATTCCTTTAGGATTGACTGGTTTGATCTTCTTGCTATCTAAGGGACTTTCAAGTCTTCTCCCAACACCACAGTTCAAAAGCATCAATTCTTCAGTACTCAGCTTCTTTATAATCCAACTCAGACTCCTCAGGCTGCCCAAAAGTGGGAAACCAGTTCTCACAGACTGCAAACCATGCAGACAGCCACTGCTGTTACATCGCAGAGACAGGGATGGGAGAGAGGTTCACTACTGCCTCAAGACCTGGGCCATGGCTAGTAGAGGGCCTTATGAGGGCACTGAAGCCCTGCAGGACATAATCCCCAGCCTGTTTCCTGGACTCTTCAGGTGACCCGCTGGCCTAAGCCTGGTTGTGCTGGAGGGTCTCCAGGAGAAGGCCTGAATCTGCCTCTTAGCTCACTCTCCTCCTGATGATCACCACACCACTGACCCTGGACTGAATCACTTCCCTAACGGTCACTCATTGACAGTTGGTTGCTTGTGGGGAGGGTCCTCTGAGGCACTGACCAATGGCTGAGCAAGACTTGTTGCCTAGTTACAGGGTGCGGAGTAACGAGGCACAGCCATGGCTGCCTGCTAACGGCTCTTCTCATCCTGCTCTGTTACAAAGGGACATATAAAGTTGTGGGTGTTGTTGGTGACAAGAGAAAAGCAATTATAAGTGATGACCCTTGGGATTTTGGCCCTAGTAGACAAAAGGATGGAAGACCCATCAACTGGATGGGGACCTTAGCATCAGGTTAATTTTCCTTGGAAATATTATGAGTTTGTTTTGGCTCTCTGAAGAGTCTGAAATGTTTCAGAGAAGACTGAGTGTAGGCAACATGGGCATTTGACTAGGCAGGTCTGGAAAACTGGGGAACGTGTTCAGGAATGGAAATTTTCAAAAGATGACCATTGTGTGGACACAGGTGGAGCTGTGGATCACATTTAGGAGGGGAATGCAGGTTGCAGTGGCCATGTTATTAGTAGGTCAGAAAGACTAGGGTGTGTGCTAAGGAGTAGTTCTTTTGCTCAGGGTTTGTATGGCATTGCAAACCCAAGTGAAGTAGAGAAGTAGCAGTGGGACCCATGTAAGAGAGGTCAACTTGGCAGGCGGCCAAGGCTTCAGTGGGGTGAATGGAGTCTGAGATATGGCTGAGGACACGCAGGAGTAATTGAGACGAGAAGGCAGTAAGGCTGGGTGCTTCTCATTTAGTACTATATGACTTCTCCAGAATGTCGCAATGAACTTTGACAGGGTCTGGGATGTTTTAGTCTTGCTAGTGGATAAGGTCTGGGGCAGACGTCATTTGTGAGTCGCTATGACTGGAGGGGAGATTTTTAGGGCTGGATTTTTTTTTTACAAAGGTTGAGTGGAGAGAGGAGCCTTGTGGCTGTTGAAGGGGCAAAGCTGGCAGTAAAGAAGTTGAAGAGAGTTATGGGAATGTGAAAATCATGTGTGGTTTTAGGGTGGTGAATATTGAAGGAAGGAGTGGCAGCAGGTGGCAAGATCTTCTAAGCAGACTGTTGCTTAGTCTGGTGTCAGATCCATCAGAGGACTGGGGTTGTAGTGAATCTTCTTTTAATTTCTAAAGCAATCTCTGGATGCCAAGCACCAGGTGTGCATGTATGTTCAGGAAGAATTCTGTGGTGTGGTGCAGGGAGATGTCAGTGCTATGGAAGTGCAACTGTAGAGTCTGAAATTGTGAGAGAATGATGTGCCCACTGAAAGGAAGTGTGAACTGATGGCCTCAGGTTCCTGATGTTGAGTATTTACAGGTGAAGCATGAGCTTATCTTTGGCTGTGTCTGGATTCCCACAATTTGGGAGACTCTAGGGGAATTGCTTGACTGGAGGGACGGGACATTGCACGCCAAGCCCAGAGTTTAGATGGCATCTGTGTGCACAAAATTCTGGAGAAGCCTTGTAGTACCGCTCCCTGCACCCCGCCCAGTTACTGCTGAGGGCTGAACACAGTGAGTAAAGCGGGTGATGGAGAGAGAAGGCATCAGTGGCACCAGTGGAGGATGGGAATGGCATAGGTGTTTGGAGAGATTGTGGATTCTTAGAGAATGTTCAAGGTTTCATTTGTCCCCTTCACCACAGGGTGGTGTGACCTTTCCAGATGTTGCTGTGTACTTCTCCTGGGAGGAATGGAGGCTCCTTGATGAGGCTCAGAGACGCCTGTATCTGGATGTGATGCTGGAGAACTATGCACTTATATCCTCACTGGGTAAGACTCAGCCTCCCTACTAACCTGGGCTGGCCTCTGTATCCTGCCTCACGCCCCAGAAGGTGCTCTGTCCTCACATGGAGGCACTGCTTGCTCCCCCAGTGTTCTGGGTAGTTGTGGTAATTAGGGCTGGGGTGTTTGCGCTGCCCTTTTTCTCCTCTGCAGCCGTAATACCTGCTATACTGCACTGTCACAGGGAAGGATTTGTGGATCATAGTCTTGCAATAAGGCCTTTGGGTGCAGCTTGCTCGCCCTTTCCCTTAATGGGTCAGTGTGTCCAGATCCATGCAGTTTCTGTGGCCCCTCCTTTAGCTGGCAATTCTGTTCCTGCTTGTTTATGGAATTGCAGCCATTGTCATGGGGACTACTTACATGAGCATTGGCTACTGTTGATCTCTCCTATATAGTTCTTTTTATGATGTTTAGACCTCTTATTTCCGTTTCATCCTGTCGTCCCAACTTTATTGAGGTATAACTAATAAAATTATATGTACTTAATATATATAATGTGATGATTTGATATATATATATTACGAAACAATTATCACCATGAAATTTATTAACACACCTATCACCAGACATAACTTTTTTTCTTTTGTGTGTGTGAGAATACTTAGGATTTGTTAGCAAATTTCCAGTATACAATATTAATGACTATAGTCACTATTATGCACTTTCGGTTCTTAGAACTTACTCATCACTGGAAGTGTTTTTGACCATCTCCCTGTTTTTCTAGCTCTCAGTATTTGGCATTCTACTTTATGCCTCTCTAAGTTTGACTTTTTTAAAGATTCTATATTTAATACAGTATTTGTTCATCGCTCTGTGGCTTATTTCATTTAGCATAATGTCCTCTAGGCTCCTGATTTTTGCAAGTGGCAGTTTTTCCTTTTTCTTGTCCAAATATTCCTGCACACATAATCGTGGGAAAGTTGGTGCATGTTTGTGTGTATACCGTATTTTCTTTATCACTTCATCCAGTAATGAACACTTTAAAATGTTTCTGTATCTTGGCTGTTTTGAATAATGCTGCAATGAATATGCACGTGAACCTGTTTCATGAAGATACTGGTTTTGTTCCTTGGGATGTATACCCAGAAGTGGGTGTGTTTGATCATATGGTAGTTCTACTTTCAATATTTTGATGAGTATTTGTGGTATTTTCCATTACTATGTTAATTTACATTCTTTGCAACCATGTGCAGTGGTTCCCTTTTCTGTGTATCCTTGCTAGCATGTTACCCCTCATATTAAAAAAAAAATTATTTTTTGCTGCACTGGGTCTTGTTGCTGTGTGTGAGGTTTCTCTAGTTGAGGTCAGTGGGGGCTACTCTAGTTGTGATGCATGGGCTTCTTTTTTTTTTTTTAATTTTATTTATTTATTTTAATTGGAGGCTAATTACTTTACAATATTGTAGTGGGTTTTGCCATACATTGATATGAAGCAGCTATGGGTGTACATGTGTTCTCCATCCTGAACCCCCCTCCCATCTCCCTCCCCATCCCATCCCTCTGGGTCATCCCAGTGCACCAGCCCTGAGCACCCTGTCTCATGTATCAAACGTGGACTGGTGATCTATTTCACATGTGGTAATATACATGTTTCAGTGCTGTTCTCTCAAATCATCCCACCCTCGCCTTCTCCCACAGAGTCCAAGAGTCTGTTCTTTACATCTGTGTCTCTTTTGCTGTCTCGCATATAGGGTCATCGTTACCATCTCTCTCAATTCCATATATATGCGTTAATGTACTGTATTTGGTGTTTTTCTTTCTGACTGACTTCACTCTGTATAATAGGCTCCAGTTTCATCCACCTCATTAGAACTGATTCAAAGATGCATGGGCTTCTTATTGCAGTGGCTTCTTCTGTTGTGGAGCACAGGCTCTAGGGCAAGTGGGCTTCACTAGTTGTGGCGCATGGGCTCAGTTGCCCTGCAGCATATGGAATCTTTCTGCACCAGGGATCAAACTTGTATCCCTTGCATTGGCAGTTGGATTCTTTACTACTGGACCACCCTGGGGGGCCGGGGGGGCCTTTTTAATTTTTTTAAAGATTCATTCATTTTTGGCTGTGCTGAGACTTCATTGCTGCATTTGGGCTTTCTCTAGTTGCAGCAAGCAGGTCAACTTAGTTGCTTGACCAGGGTTTGAACCTGGGTCATTGCAGTGAAAGCACTGAGTCCTAACCATCAGATCTCTAGGGAATTCCCCTAGGTTTTTTTTGTTCTGTTTTGTTTATTTTATAATAATCCTTTGGCTATCTGCTAGGTTTTGTGGTTTTATATATAAATTGTCAGATTTTTTGTTCTATTTCTGTGAAAAATGTCCTTGGGATTTCTATTGAGATTGCATTCAATCTGTAGGTTGCTTTAGGCAGTATGGACATTTTAATAATGTTAATTCATCCAGTCAGTGAGCATGTAATATCTTTCTGTTTGTATCTTTTTCAGTCTTTCAACAATGTCTTAGAGTTTTTCATGTATAGGTCTTCATCCTTCTTGGTTAAATATTCCTAGGTATTTTTTTGTTGTTGGAATTGTAAATGGGATTGTTTTAATTTTTTGCTCGCTCACTATTCAGGTTTAGAAGTTGAACTGTTTTTTGTATGTTGATTTTGTACCCTGCAACTTTGTTGGTTATTTCTAATAGATTATTGGTGGAGTCCGTCAAGTTTTCTATGCGTAAAACCATGATATCTGCAAATAGTGAAAGTTTTACTTTTGCCTTTCCATTTTGGATGCCTTTTTTCCCCCTTGCCTGACTGTTCTTTGCTAGGACTTTCGATGTTACATCAAATAAGGGTGGAGATAGTGGACATCCTTTTCTTGTTCCTGATTTTAGAGAGATAGGTTTTGACATTTCACCATTGAGCTTGATGTCAGCTGAAGGATTTGCCATCTATGACTTTTATTATGTTGAGGTATGTTCCTTCTTTACCCACTTAATTCAGAGTTTTTATCATAAATGGATGTTTAATCTTGTCAAAGGCATTTTCTGTATCTATTGAAATGATTAAATGGTTTTAATCCTTCATTTTGTTTATGTGGTATATCACATTGATTGATTTGTAGATGTTGAACTATTCTTGCATCTCTGGACTAATCATGATGTATGATTCTTTTAATGTGGTGTTGTATTTGGTTTACTAGTATTTTGTTGAGAATTTTTGCATCTGTGTTTATCAGAGATACTGTCCTATAATTTTCTCTATGTTGTCTTCATCTGGTTTTGGTGTCTGGTGATGTTGCCATTGTAAAATGAGCTAGGAAGCATTCCTTTCTCCAATATTTTGGAAGAGTTTGAAAAGGGTAGGTATTTAATCTTTTTTGAATTTTTGGTAGAAGTCACCTGTGAAGCCAAGATTTTTATTTTCCTATATATGCATACAGTAAGCAGTTATTGCTCTAAGTTTCCCTCTTTGAACTACCAAGGTATTTTTTTAAATTTCTTTTGAGATCATTTATTTTTCCATGATTCTGTTGTTTAATTTCCACATGTTTGTGAATTTTCCCAGTTTCCTACTTGTTACTGATTTCTTCCTTCAATCCATTGTGGTCAGCAAAGATAGTTTATATTATTTCAATCTCCTTAAATTTGTTAGACCTGGTTTTATAATCTATAACATATGATCTGCTCTGGGCAGTGTTCTGTATGCAGTTGAGAATGTGTATTCTGCTGAAGTTGGACGTTTTGTATATATGTCCATTTGATCTAAAGTATGTGTTCAAGTCCAAAGTTTTCTTACTGAATTTCTGTCTGGATGATCAACCTATTGTTGAAGGGAGAATATTGAAGTCTCTAGCTCTTTTTTTTTTTTTTTTTTCCAAATTGTATTTATTTATTTGGCTGTGTCAGATCTTAGTTGCAATACACAAGATCTTCTTTGTTTCATCATTTGGAATCTTTTGTTGAGGCACATGGACTCCCTAATTGTGGCTCATGGGATTCAGTATTTACAGCACGCAGGCCCTCTGTTGTGGTGAGCTGCTCTGGAACTCACGGGCTCAGAAGTTGTAGCATGCCAGCTCAGTTGCTCAGCAGCATGTGAGATCTTAATTACCTTACTAGGGATCGAACCCCTGTCCCCTGCCTGGCAAGGTGAATTCTTAACCACCAGACCACCAGGAAAGTTCTATGAAATCCTTTGTTATTGGGTTGTTGTTTCCGCTTTCAGATTGGTTAATATTTGATGCAGACATTTTCATGCTACAATGTTCAATGCATATACGCTAGCCATTGTTATAGTCCCTTGATTAACTTTTTTTCATCATTATATCATGAACTTCTTTGTATTTTGTGGCAGTTTTTCACTTAATGTTTGTTTTGTCTGAAGCTATACAGTACTTTTTTTTCTCCTTTTTTTTTTTAGCTATACAGTACTTATGCTGACTTTCAGTTTTCCATTTGATGGAGTATCTTTATGTTGCCTTCATTTTGAACTCTGTGTGTCCTTAGTACTGATGTGAGTCTCTTTTTGACAATATAAGATTCAGTCTTGTTCTTTTATTAATTTGGTTGCTGTTTTTAAGATTTTGATGTGGACCATTTTTAAAGTCTATTGAATTTGTTACAGTATTGTTTCTGTTTTCTGTTTTGGTTTTTTGACAGAGGCATGTGGGATATTAGCTCCCCAGCCAGGGATTGAACCCACACTCCCTGTATTAGAAGGTGAAGTTTTAACCACTGGATCTCCAGGGAACTTGTGGCCACTGTTTGTTGTTTTCTGACTGTTTTGTTGTTGATGCAGATGCAAATTTGTGATGAGCTTGACCCTTCCCCGTAGTCAATAGTACTTGACGTGCATTTCTTTCTGTTCAGGTTGCTGCTGTGGAACAGAGAATGCAGAGGCGCCTTCTGAACAGATCACTTCTCTAGAAATGTCACAGGCTAGGACCACGAAGGCAGCTTTGTCTTCCCAGAAGATGCACCCATGTGAGACCTGTGGTCCAGTCTTGAGAAATGTTTTCCACTTGGCTGAGCACCATGAAACACAGCACGTCCAAAAACTGTTGAGGTGTGGAGCATATGGGAAACAGTTTTATTTTAGTACAAACTTTCAGCAGCACCTGCAGCAGCACATGGGAGAGAAAACCCTCAAAAGCAGTGGCGACAAGGCCTTGTTTGTGAAGAGCTGCAGCTTCCTTGTGTCACAGAAGCCATTTACATGCAGGGATTTTGAAAAGGACTTCCTGACCATCATGGTTCATCTGCAGCAACAGGCTGTGAAGAAGCCAAACACAGTCACCCAGTGCCAGTCAACCTTACATGGCAGGAAAAGTCATCACACATGGGAAGAATGCAAGAAAGCCCTCAGTCCCCCACGTACACTTGTTCAGGACCAGGGTGTCCGCACTGGAAGACCTTGTTTTGTGTGCAGTGAATGTGGGAAAGCATTCAGGTACAAATCCTCATTTGTTGTGCACCAGAGAGTCCACGCTGGAGAATGGATCCATGTGTGTGGTGAATCTGGAAAATCCTTTAGGCAAAGCTCAACCCTGTGTCAACATCAAAGCATTCATACTGGGGCAGTGCAGTACAAGTGCAGCAAATGTGGGAAATTCTTAAGCCACAAATCTGTCCTCATTTCTCCCCACACATGGCACAGTGGAGAAAATAGTTACGTGTGTGGTGAATGTTCAAAATCTTTTACGTCTAGCTCAGCCCTCACTTACCATCAGAGATCTCACACAGGAGAAAGGCCTTATGAGTGTAGTGACTGTGAGAAATCTTTTGTCTCTAGGCCTGCCCTCAGGTATCATCAGAGATCTCACACAGGAGAACGGCCTTATGCATGCAGTCAATGTGGAAAAACTTTTACCACTAGCTCTAACCTCCATTATCATCAAAGAGTTCACACTGGAGAAAGGCCTTATGAATGTAGTGAATGTGGGAAATCTTTTAACAATAGGTGGGTTCTCATTCAACATCAGAGAGTTCACACAGGAGAAAGGCCTTATGAGTGTACTGAGTGTGGGAAATTGTTTAAATATGGATCCCAATTGAATCAACACCAGAAAGCTCACACTGGTGAAAAGCCTTTTAAGTGCACTGAATGTGGGAAGTCTTTTAACAATAGGTGGACACTCATTCAACACTGGAGAGTTCACACCGGAGAAAGGCCTTTTGAGTGCAGTGAATGTGGGAAGTCCTTTAATCGAAGAAATAACCTCATCTTACACCAGAGAATTCACACAGGAGAAAGGCCTTACGTGTGCAGTGAATGTGGGAAATCTTTTACCTTCAGCTCCAGCCTTCGTTATCATCAGAGAGCTCACACTGGAGAAAGACCTTATGAGTGCAGTGAATGTGGGAAGTCTTTTATTTCTAGGTCTGACCTCCATTATCATCAAAGAGTTCATTCTGGAGAAAGACCTTATGAGTGTAGTGAATGTGGAAAATCCTTTATCCAAAGAAATAACCTCATAATACACCAGAGAATTCACACAGGAGAAAGGCCTTATGAGTGCAGTGAATGTGGTAAATCTTTTACTTGTAGTTCCACTCTGCATTATCATCAGAGAGTTCACACTGGAGAAAGGCCTTACGTGTGCAGTGAATGCGGGAAATCTTTTATTACCACATCCAAACTGCGTTGTCATCAGAAAGGTCACGTTGGAGAAAGGCCTTAAGAGTGCACTGAATGTGGGAAATCTTTTATAGGAAAAATCTAACCCCTTTCAACATCAGAGTTCACACAAAGGCATAGATATGCATGAAATGTGGTTTCAGCATTCAGTTGAAGGGCACTGGAGGAAACTTTCTGAGGAGCCATCTGTCTGAATTGACTTTCATCCATCTGCGCATGCATAGTGGGAGAATCCCTGGTTATGTGTGAAGCGTGTGTGACTATGTTGCACTCTCCAACCTATCCAGGGTTCTTCCCAGATTTATGTCACTGCCATCTCTGTGGTCAAGGCCATTTCACACCTACCACCTAGCAGGTCCACATAGTGTGCTCAGGGAAATTTAACTCTGTCCTCCCATATATTGGCCAAATCAGGAGTTACCTGAGCCCTAGGGGGTCTTTCTCTCCTCTTTGGTGATGTTGGGCATAGACCTAACCCAATATTGATCCATAGAACATCATTTGAGTTTGCTGGTGGCACTCCAACAAAGATGACAGTTTTAAGGGACATGTTGGTGTCATGTGATACTTGTGATGAGTGTGTCCAGCTTGCAAGTCATGGACTCCAGAGCTCAGCTACACATTGCTTTGAACAGTAACAAAGGCCCTACCCTTGAAGTCTTCATTAATCTTGACAGTTTTGTTCCTGTGTAGGGTAGTTTAGAAACTAGTACAGATTTCTAATCTACAGGCAGGAAGGAGGGGAGAAATTTTTATAGGTCTTACATGCTGTACCTGAGGAGGGGCAGCATCATGGCAGAAAATAACTTGGTGATTTTGACCAAATTTGTGTTACTGCCCAGAGCCTCCTAGGAAAGACTGCAGGACTTTCTCTTCATTTGAAGCCTGTATGCTATATTTCTCATGAGTCTCAGATGACTCCTAAGGAAGGGGAGTGGTTCTGAGAACCACATCATTTTTTTCTCTTACTTGGAGTAAAGATCACAGGTGTTTCCACCACTGTTGACGGAATGTCTTCCCCAGGTCTGCAAAGATCCACATTCCTTGATGGCCACAATCCACTGGTTGTCACTGGTTGTAAGAGAACTGTGATAGATACGGAACGGTTATAAGGGGAACCATAATAAGTATGGAAACTCTAGTATATAGTGTAGGAGACTGCAGCCAATTAGATGAAATGTACCTCTTCTAAAAATGTAGCTAGAGGGAATTCCCTGGTGGTCCAATGGTTAGGACTTACCCGCTTTCACTGCCAAGGGCCCTGGTTCAATCCCTGGTTGGAGAACTAAAATCCCATAAACCTCAAAGTGTGGCCAAAATAAAACAAAGTGTAGCCAGCAATGTTTCTGTGACTCTGCAGGATCACAGATCATGCAAATCTCAGGACTTGTGGGCACGCCTATCTTGTGTAGCTGAGGATGTTGTCAGGGAAATTAGTCAGGCTTTGAGGATCACTGTAGCCTCTCAGTGATGTTCACCTCCAGGCCCTTACTACACAGGGAGGAAAAAAGGGAAGAGGTCTCATATTCTGAGGATGTGGCTCTTGGCCTGTGCAGCACTCTTCCTGATGGATAGAAATGTTCATTGCTCCCTGTATTTGCTGCTATTGAGACAAGACTGACCTTCCAGAGGGCATAAGGAGAGAGATGCTGGAGTCAACACAGCGTTTCTCAGCCTATGTTCCATAAAGAGTGGGACATGGGTTTTGTTTGGTTTTTTTCTTGAGCCAATTTTTAAAGCTTTATAAAGATATAATTTATATGTAATCAGCAGCTTATAACTAAAATATACAGTTTTACAAATTTTGACATATGTACAGACCTCTGAAAACAGCATCCTACTCTTGATAATGACCAGATCTGTCATGGTGTGTTTACCTCATGTCTTTTTATAATCTCTTCTTGCTTTCCCACCTCTCCAGGTAACCATTTATTTACTTTCCCTTATAATAGATAACCTTTGCATTTTCTTATATTTATATGATGGGAATAAGCTGTTCTTTTTTTTCCCTGGTTTTCTTTGTTTTATAATTACTTTGAGATATGAGTATCTCTTTTCTGAGCAATATTCTTATCTTTGGGTATGCCACTGTTGACTTACTTATCCATCTCTTTATGGTTCTTTAGGTTATTTCTAGGTTGTGACTATTGGAAGTAAACCTGTTACAAACATTTGTGTTAGTTTACATGGATGTGTGTTTCTTTGATCTTGTGTCAATAACTTAAACTGGGATGTCTGAGTCACAGGATAGATCTAAAATGATTGTTTTTTTGGCATATTAACTAGCAGTGTGTTAGAGAGTTCCTCTCTTCTACATCCCTGCTAATGCTTGATATGATTTATAGCAGCCCTTTTTAAAACTGAATAGTGCTATCTCAAGGCTTCGCCAGTGGCCCAGTGGTAAAGAATCCACCTGCAATTTGGGAGACATGAGTTTGATCCCTGGGTTGGGAGGATCCCCGGAGGAGGAAATGACAACTCATGCCAGTATTCTTGCCTAGAGAATCCCATGGACAATGGAGATTGGTGGGCTGCAGTCCAGTGGTCACAAAGAGTTGGAAATGACTGAGTGACTGAGCATGCACACATACAGAGTGCTATCTCAGTGTGATTTTAATTGCATTTTTTAATGATATGTGGTTTTGAGCACTTTGCAGGTCTTTGCCACCTGTATATCTGTTTCTGTGCTGTTTCACTTCTTATTCGCTATTTTTTAAATATGCATTATGACAGTTTCCTGATTCATTTACAAATAAGACACGGAAACAGCAAAGACATGAGGAATTTTACTCTTTCTTAAATGAGTAACATTTGCCATATGGAATCATTGTTTTTAATACAGGTAGGATATTTCCTCATTTTTCCTCAAATTTTCTGAGTTATGCACAATGTCATGACCATATCCCACACGTATTTAAAATCAGTCTGCATTATAAACATGACCTCCATTACTTAAATCCAGGTATTCAATAATACAATAAATGTAGTCTTACTTTATAGTGTTTCCCAATCACCACTAATTTGGAATGTGGTCAGGGAAGGAGCTCAGAATTTCTTTGTATGTATGTGTGTTTGTGTTTGGCTGTGCTGTGTGGCCTGTGGGATCTTAGTTTCCTGACCAGGGGTGGAACCCGCACCCCCTGCATGGAAGCATAGAGTCTTATTTTGTTGAACTTTCTGTTTTGTAGTAGAGTATAGCTGATTAACAATGTTGTGATAGTTTCATGTGAACAGTGAAGGGACTCAGCCATGTGGTATACATGTATCCATGCTCCCCCAAACTCCCCTGCCATCCAGCCTGCCACATGACATTGAGCAGAGTTCCTTGTGCTATAGAGCAGGGCCTAACTGTCCTGGAAGTGTGAAGCCACTGGACGGCCAGGGAGGTCCTTGTGAAGCTGAAAAATTCTACCCAAGTTCCCCCAAGCTTTTGGTAAAAAACTACACATGTGCAGGAGGAGACTTTACAAGGCCAGGCAGGCAACAGCTCGGGGCACTGTGACCTGACTGGAGGCTCGGAGGCCTCAAAGACATAACTTACTGACCAGAGGGGAGGCATGTCCCTGAACACACTGGGGCATCCCTGGAAATCCTCACTGGCCTCACCTTTTTAGCATCAGGGTGTCTGAGTGGTCATGCTATTCTGAGTTGCCCTGTCTGACTCACTGGTTACTTTGCAAGGGCTTCTTACACCAAATTCTCCCAAACTCTTTTTTTATCTCTCCCTTTCTGTAACTGTTGATTATTTGCAACTGCTTTTACCTTCTGTGGATCTCACCATGTTTGGCTGCTTTTTCAGACACTTAGACTTCAGGGCCACTACTCACTTCTGCTTGGGGCAGTGTCTCATAAGAACTGGGGTGGGAATGTACAGGGCAGGCGCCTGGGGCGTGCACTCTTTGCTCTATACCTTAAGAGGGCCATGTGTCAAGTCTGCGGGGACACCAGTGATCTAAGGTTGTATCTCAGACGAGGAGGAGTACAGGTGCAGTGGTAATGGAGGAGCACAGCAGAGAGTGCCAGATCCAAAATGTCAGGGAGGCTGGGATGGTACAGGGACTGCAGGAGACACCTAGCATGTGTCTGCCCATTGTGGAAAACTTCTCCCTCTAAAATCACCAAAGGCTAGGCCCTGCCCAGAGTTCCTGGCAGATCTGTCCCTGGAGGCTTCTGAGGGAGGCAGAGCAGTTCATGGGGATCCACAGGCTCTCCAACCTACCCAGTAGCACCCCACCATCCGCCACTCATGCATCCGGTGGTGGTTGGTTCAGTCGCTCAGTCGTGTCCAACTCTTTGCAACTCCATGGGCTGCAGCATGCCAGGCTTCCCTGTCCTGTGTCAGAGAAACCCGTGTCCATAACTTTGATGCACCCTGGTAGCAACATGCACAAGTTGGGATTCTGCCTCTGAAGTGAAAAGGCAGGACTAAGCCTCTGAGTCAAAAATCTCATATTTGGCCTCTGGAGTCCACTAGGGACTAAGTGATTGGATTATCTAGGATAAATCATATTGTGTATTGGTGCTTCGCAAGTGGTGGCGCTAGTGGTAAAGAATCCACCTGCCAATGCAAGAAACAAGGGTCCAATCCCTGGATCAGGAAGATCCCCTGGAGAAGGGCATGGCTACCCAGTCCAGTATTTCTTGCTTGGAGAATCCCTTGGACAGAGGAGCCTGGCGGGTTACAGTCCACGGGGTCGCAAAGAGTCGGACACGACTGAAGCGAATGAGCGCACACATAGGAGCTGGGTGAGTTTCATGGAGTCTGAAACAATGTCTTTTCGCCAACAAACAAAGCCTCTCCCTCCTTTGAGGGATAAGAACCACCGTCCAGCGTTCCTCCTTAGTCCTTTTAGCTTACGTGCGTGCTCAGTCGCCTCCGACTTTTCGCAATTCCTTGGACTGTAGTCCGCTCCAGGCCCCTCTGTACATGGGATTTCCCAGGCAAGAATAACTGGAGTGGGTTGCCATTTCCGTCTCCAGGGGATCATCCCGACCCAGGGATCGAGGCCTGCACTGGTTGGCCGATTGTTTACCACTGTGCCACCTGGGAGTGGATGCCACGGTCCCTTGGGGTTGCAAAGCCAATGCTTCAGATGAACAATAACTCCGTTCACTGCGCCGCTAGAGCGCAGACACCCAGAAGAGGGCAGGCCGAGAAGCTTCAATTAAAAGGCAAAGACCAATCAGGGCGAGGGATTCCTGCGCCGGCGTATCGCTTTGGGGAGGGACTTCCGGCCTCTCCGTGGTGGCAGTGATTTTTTCGCGCCCGTTGGGTCCTTTCCGGCTGCAGACCGTTGTGTCGGGATCTAGGTGACCGCACCAAGAGGGTCCGAGAGGAGAGCCTGTGCCCGCTGCACAGAGGCAGATCTGAGACTCGGCGACGCCGCCCGGGGTGACCCGCGCTAGGCCCAGTAGAGGCCCTGCAGTGCCCGAGTTCTCAGGCCGCTTCCGGACCCGCTCCGGCCAGAGTCAGATGGCGGCGGCGGCGGTGGCGGCGGCGCTGAGGGACCCGCCTCAGGTAAACGCGTGATCTCCGGGCCCGCACCGCCCTCACCCCACCAGGCACTAAAGCTCCGAGCGCGATGCTCCTGCTCAAGTGTCCGCAGCCGCGGGATCTAGGACGGTGGGGCGGTCGTGGGTGGGGTCCTGTGTCTGACAGTGTGATGGCTCGTGGAAGAGGGTGACAGGCGGAGGGACTCCCAGGCGCAGAGGCTTGAAGGTCGTACTGAGGCAGGAAGATGGAGAAACCTCGGTCCATCTTATATGTGCAGTAAACAAGAGTGTGAGGTGAAATCAGGCCTGGCCTGGCAGAGAGAGAGGTTGTTCCTTTATTCTGAGGGACTTGGGAACCATGGAGAGTTCTGAATGGACAAGGAACACTGTCAGGGCTTTAAAAGTTTTCGAAAACCTGCTCTGAGAAGGAACATACTGGAATGGGGTGACAGAGAAAGGCACAGGAAGTTGAGTCTTGTCTAAGGGCTCAGGATCTGATAAGAGGCAGCACTGAGGACTGAAGCGCAGAGGTTAGTCAGGTTGACTTCACTAGGTTCCAGTGCCAGGTCGGGATACAGGCGAGGTGATACACATTGAGCCCAGACATGGTTGCCTTCCTTTCCCCCTAGGTTCTGAAGGTTGAAAAGGCACATATGGAACTTACCTAAAGCAGGAAGGATGTCCCAGCCCCTCACTGGTTCTGGGTGGCTAATACTGAAAGTTCAGAGGGAAAGTAGGCAGTGCTGCAAAACAGCCTTCAGGACTTCTCCTGGGTATGGGACCCCTCAGAGATCTGGGATAATACTAGATCATGTTTGATTTTGTTAAGCACTCTCTGAATGTCATGTTCCAGGTACATAGGTGAGTCCACAGAGATGCCTGTGATGTGGGGCAGGGTGGTGGGAGAGCTGTGGGAGTGCAACTGTGGGGTCTGAAGATGTGAAGGAGGTTTGGTCAGCTGATGTGCACATCAAGAGGAAGTACGAATTGAGGACCCACAGGCTCTGGTGCTGGTGACTTAAGGGTACCAATGAGACCACGTTTGGCTGTGTCTTGGAGGCGCAATATGGGAGTTCTCAGGGGAGTTACCTGGTGGGAGGGATGGGGCTGTAAGCCAGGCCCAGAGTTTAGGTGGAGTTTATTCCTCCTGGGCACCGCCGTTTGTGGCTGAAGGCTCGACAGTGATTAACGGGACAGTGAAGAGAGATCAGGCATCATTGGCACCATAGCCTGAGTTGGCGAACTCTGGGGGAGGATGACTGGAATAGATGTGTGAGATGAATTGTGAGTTTTCGGAGAGAGAATGCTTATGGTTTCATCTGTCTCATTCATGACAGGGTGGTGTGACCTTTGAGGACGTTGCCCTGTCCTTTAGTTGGAAGGAATGGAAGCTCCTTGATGCGGCTCAGAAACGCCTGTACCATGATGTGATGCTGGAGAACTATGCACTTATATCCTCATTGGGTAAGACTGTCACCCACCCCAGACTGACCTGGGCTAGGCTCTATATCCTGCCTCACCCTCCTTTCCTCAAGGGGTGCCCTGTTCAAACACATGCACCTTGGGCACTGTTTGTTCCTCAGCTTTCTGGCTAGTTGTTTTGATAGATAGGGCAGGGTTGTTTGCACTGCCGTTGTCTCGCCTTGTAGCCCCAATTATTATTATTATTTCCAAAACGAATAAAATAATATT